AATGAAATCCTACTCAGCTACTGCATTTTAACATGCATTATTAGAGTTTTGATGTAATATTTAACAAACCATTGCTTAACCAAGATAACAATGAGTTCTTTCTGTTTTTTCAAGAGATCTGAAGTCTTAACATTTATATTTATATCTCTGATCCATTCTGAATTAACTTTTATCTATGATATAAAGTGTTCAACTTTTTTTCTGACATGTGGATTTCCATTTGTTCAGTACCACTTGGTAAGGTTATTCTTTGGCCACTGAATTGTATCTTTATTGAAATTCAGTTGACCATAACCAAAATAGTTTATTTCTGAATTACTGATTGCATTTTACTGATCTATATGTCTAACCTACTATTGGTATAACATAGTTTTTATTACTTCCTAGGTGTGTAATAAGATTTGAAACCAGAAATGTGACTCTTTTGATTTGTGCTACTTATGCAAGATTGTTTAGGCTCTGTTAAATGCTTTGAAATCCCACATGAATTTTAGGGTTATATTGTCAATTCCTGTAAAACACCAGTGGGAATTTTTGACAAAGATTGTGTTGAAGTTGATAAATTAATTTGCAGAGTATGGTCATCTTAAATCTTTAAGTCTACCAACACAAATAGAACTGCTTTCTTAATTTTATTTTCAACTCATTCACCAGTGAAAATAGAAATGATTTTCTGTATATTGATCTTATATCTTGAAACAGAGCTTTATCTTAGTTTATGACTATTATCTTTAATCACGTTTGTGTGTCCATGTATGTATGTATGCATGAATTCTTTGGATTTTCTCTTCATAAGATTCTGTGATTCATGAACAGAGAGCTTTTACCCCTCCCTTTCATCACTCCCCATATATATCTTGCCAAAGTGCCTCGATACAATTTCTTACACGAGAAATCCTAAGTGTAAAGAGCAAAATAAAAGCTAGATGATGGTAAATGGGGAGATAGATCTTTTCCAAAGGGGAAGAGGATCAAGATTTGGAGGGAGGAGTGTGGCAAAGGAGGGAAAAGAGATTAAAAAGGATTTTGAATGTGTTATGAACCTGTACCAACTCCCCACAAGAAACATAAACATTACGCACTGAAAACACATACTAGTGAGTAACTAAAACTTGAAAAAGAAATTAAACCTCCATTATAATGTTTCTTGAGAATGACTATTCTCACCCTCCTACTGATCACAGAGGCAAGGTATTCTGTCCTCACTATTAAGTGTGATGCTAGCTGACAATACTTATAGATGCCTCTTATAAGGCTGAAGTTCACATTTATTTGTAGCTTGTAGAATTTTTTTTTGTCTTTCATCATGAAAGGTTTTAGTTTTGCCAATTGAGGTTTCTGCATTTATTTATTTATTTATTTATTTATTTATTTATTTAGCAGAACCGGGGATTGAACTCAGGCCCTTGCGCTTGCCAGGCAAGTGCTTATTTTACTGTGTTATCTCCCCAGCCCCGCTGTTTCTGTGTTTAATGAGGTGATCATATGCAGTATTTGCCCTTTATTCTATTAACATGGTAAGCTATATTGATGGACATCTACATGTTACATCAACCACATAGTCTTAGATTAAGTTCCATTTGGTCAGGATTCATAATCTTTTTATACTGTTGATTCAATTTGGCAGTATTTCACTGGATAGCTTTGTCTATTTTATATGGAATATTGGTCTGTCACCTTTCTTTTCTTGCAATCACTTTGGTAATGGATCAGGATGATACTGGCCTTATAAAATGAGTTTGGAAGTAGCACTTGCTCCTGATTTGGGGGGCAAAGGCTGTGAACACTTGTTGGTGATTCCTTTGTGGATGGTATAATGAGCAAAGCCACATGGGCCCACGATTTTTTTTTTTTTTTTTTTTACAGAAATACTGCAAATCACTTTCCTTGTTACAGGTCACTTCAGAGTTTCAACTTCTTCTAGGATCAGTGTTAGCATTTTGTTTCTATTGTGATTAATTGTGTTCATCAACTTGACTGGGCCAAGGAGTGCCCAGATTAAACATTATTTCTTGTAAGCAGATTTCCAGATGAAGTTAACATTTGAGTTGATGGGCTCATTAAAACAGATGGCTCTTCCCAGTGTTGACGGGTGTCTCAGTTACTCTTCTCTCATTGTTAAGACAAACACCCAACACCCAAAATGAAGGAAGGAAAGGTTTATTTAGCTCATAGTTACTGGAGATTTTAGTCTATACTCGGCTGGCTCCAAAGCAGACTGGCACAGGGCAGAGAGCATCAGTTCATAGTGGCAGCAAAGAGCAACGAAAGCCAAGGGAGGAGCAGCAGCAACAATGGCAACAGGGAGGAAGTCTGTCTCTCTGTCCCTCTTATGTTACATTCAGGCTATCTGCCCCAGGCTTGGTGTAGCACTTGTACTCATAATCCCAGCAGTACTAAGACCCATAATCCCATGGATCATGAATTAATCTCAAACTCTAGAAGTCCCCACCCAATGACTGCATGAGGCTTTGGGGGGACAACTAGACATAAACCATAACAATGGGTATCACCCAACCCACAGTGGTCCTGATCAGAGCAAAAGGCAGATGAAGGAGGAACTCTTCTCTTTTTCTTACTGCCTGTCTGCTTCGGCTGAGATATTGTCTTTCTGTTGTCCTTTAACTAGAATTTATTATACCACTGTCTCCCTTGTTTCTCAGGCATCCATA